CTTAACAGACGTTTATAGAACATTCTATGCAAGAACAGTGATAAAGAAAACATGGCATATATTTATAAAGAAGTTCTATTCAGCCATTAAAAAAATGAGATCCAATCATTTGCAATAACATAGATGCAACTGGAGATCATGTTAAGTGAAATAATTTAGACACAGAAAGACAAGAATTACATGTTTTCACTTATTTGTGGGTTCTAAAATTCAAAGAAATTTAACTCATTTCATATTCCCCATTCTTTCACTACCCTTCCAGCCTCTTGTAAGTATGTGAGTATAATTTCTCCAACAGAGATTAGAGTTACCAGGGGCTGGGAAGGGTAGTGAGAGGGTGGGGAGTATCTAGGGTGCTTAATGAATAAAAAAATAGTTGAAATAAAAGAGACCTACTATTTCATAGGAAAACCAGGTTATTTTAGTCATTAATAATTAAATTGTACATTTTAAAATAACTAAAAGGGTATAACTGGATTGTAACTCAAAGGATAAATACTTGAGGGGATGGATATTCTATTCTTCACGATGTGGTTTTTACACATTACATGCCTGTATCAACACATCTCATTTACTCCATAAATAAGTACACCTACTATGAACCCACAGAAATTAAAAATTAAAGAAAATAAAGTAAACTTCAAAATAGAGTCCCTCTACTGTAAACCTTATAAAAAATAATGTGAAATCCTTACTCCTACATTAGAACAGAATAGAAAACACATAAAGCCACATACCTATGACCAATAAATCTTTGGCAAAGTTATACACTTTGGAAAGTATACCCTATTCAAAAAATGGTGCTGGGAAAATTAATTTGCCATAAGGAGAAGAATGCAATTGGGCCCCTATTTCTCACTACATATCAAAATTAACTTAAGATGGATTAAAGACAAATGTAAGACCTAAAACCATAAAATCATAGAAGAAAACCTCGGAAAAATTCTCACACTGGCCTAGGCAAATAATTCATGAATAAGACCTCTAAAACAAATGCAACAATAGCCTGTGACAATTGGAATTTTGCCCAATTTTTAATGGGGTTATTTATTTTGTTTTATTTCTTGTTTGAGTTCTTTATAAATTCTGGATATTAGCTTCTTTCTGAATACAGGGTTTGCAAATATTTTATCCCATTCCGTAGGCTGTCTGCTTACTCTGTTAATTATTTCTTTGCTGTGCAGAAGCTTTTTCGTTTAATTAAGTCCCACTTATCTTAAGGTTTTTTGCAAAAATCAGAATCTAGATGTAGATCTTACACTGTTCACAAAAGTGTTTATAGAACTGAATGTAAAACACAAAACCATAAAACTCTGAGAAGATAACAGAGGAGAAAATACAGAAGACCTTGGAAATGCTTTTTCAAATACAACAGCAAGCGTACAATACATGAAACAAAAAATCAATAATCTGAACTTTGTTAAACAAAAATCTTTTACTCTGTAAAAGACACTATCAAGGGAAGGAGAAGTCGAACTGGAAAAGGAAAAATAGTTCTGAAAGATACATCTTATAAAAGACTGTCATCCAAAATACTCAAAGAACTCTTAAAGCTCAACAATAAAAAATTTGGACACCCTTAATAGAAACATGAGCAAAAGATTTGAACAGATATCCCACCCAATAAGATAAACAGATGTCAAATAAGCATGAAGGCTGTTCAACATTATACATCATTATTGCAGGGACCTGCAAACGAAGACAATAATGACACACACCTTTACAATAATGAACATCTAAGGCACTGATAAAACCAAATGTTGGCAAGGATTTGAAGCAATGGGAACTATTAGTTATTGCTAGTATGAATGCAAAATGTTACAGACTACTCTGGAAGAGAGTTTGGTGGCTTCTTAACAAAACTAAATTGTGCTTACCATATGATCCAGCAGTTGTGCTCCTTGATATTTACCAAATGAGTTGAAAACTTATATCCACACACAAACTTGCACATGGACATTTATAGCAAATTTGTTCATTATTGCCAAAATTGGATGCAACCAAGATATCCTTCACTAGATGAATAAACTGTGGTACATCAACACAAGTGAATATTATTGTATTACTACTTAGTGGTAAGAAGAAGTGGTCTTTTGAGCCATGAGAAGACACTGAGAAACCTTCTGCATATTAGTAAGTGAAAGAAACTCATCTGAAAAGGCTACGTACTGTGTGATTCCAACTATATAACAATCTCTTATAGTAAAGGCAAAACTATGACAACACTAAAGTGAACTATGGTTCACTTGTTACCAAGGACTTGCAGGAAAAGGAGAGAATAGGCAGAGCTCAGAAAATTTTTAGGACAGTGACTGTATTCTGTAAGATGCTGCAATGTTGGATATATGGTATTATACATCAGTCAAATGTATAGACTGTACAAAACAAGGAGTGAACCACATGTAAACTTTGAACTTTGGTTGATGATTATGTCTCATTGTTGGATTACTGACTACAAATAATGAACCCCACTGGCGGCAGTTGTTGACTGTGCAAATGACTATTTGCAGATGCTGGGAGGGGGTTTGTGGGAACTGTGTTCTTTCCACTTAGTGTTGCTGGGAGCCTAAAATTGCTATAAAAATAAATTACATTAATTTAAAAACCCACTCTAACTCACAACTCTGGCCAAATATTTCACTGAACCAGCAAGCAGGAATACTGGAATTCTAATACAAAATCTTTTACTGATGCATTAATAATGCTCTAACTCACTGAGTCACCAATTGCTCATTCCTGAAAAACAAAGCAAAATTTAGACTAGTAGATCTCAGAGATCCCATCTGTCTTTAAATTATCTATGTTCCTTTTATTCTATAAAAACAAAGGTCAAGGCAGGAGCCTCAGCTCAAGAAAAGAAATGAGGAGCAGAGCAAGGATAGCTGTCTCTCAAGGAATAAAATTATTGCTCTAAAGAGAGAATGAGCTTATTTTAACCAATTAAACTAGCTTATACCTATGTGAGTGGGGCAGTAAATTACTGCCTCCCTTTGCCCTAGATAAAGGGTTCATCAGGACCTGGACTCACTCACTTTTTAAAGGTTATGAAACCAAACACATGTGACCCACATTTTACTTAACTGGTGCTAGAATTATTAACTAAATTAATCTTTATTTTAAAAGTCACTGCTTAGATTAACCCACAAATATTGAACTTTAGTAAATCTTGGTGCCCCAGTTTTACTGAATGTTTTGCTTAGATGGAAGGCAGCAAGATGCAGGGGTTATGGTTTCCAGCCCCAGCTTGGTCACCTGCATTCTGTGTATCCTTAGCTAAAGTTCTGAATCTCCATGATCTAACTTTCTCCTCTCTAAACTGGGAATAATTTTACAATGGGCAAAGATAATTGAAAGAATAAAAGAGATGTGGTGAATATGAAAATTCTCTGTAAATTTGTCATAATCTCTTTAAGCATAATCCATAAAACATTGTGTAACTGGGTCTTAATATTTTCTTAATGAAAGAGCTGGAAATAACCGTACTGTTCAATTTAGAATAAATGTAATCTTTTCAGAGCATGCCTTGGTACACACATTTCATCATTAGTGATCTAGTAATGTTTATAAATCCAGTTGTATTTAATTATTCATGATCATTGATGATCAGTTCCCATTCAGATTTGCACATTGCAGTTGTTCTGTGCCCTGGGTTCAGTCAATGATTTCCCTACATTCCATCTTCTATTGAATCCACAACTGTTGTTCTGTGTATAATTTCTCATTCTTGCTGCATATGATTACATTCTATTATTTGTGACAATAACAGACCGAAAACAATAGAAGCAGTCATGTCTGAAGGCGACGGAGAGGTAATGAAGCCGTAGATTTTCAAACTCTCTGCCATAAATTATGTGAGATTGGCCCTTTCCTTAATAGTGTTGAACAACCTTCACCTGTGAGGTGATGCAGAAGGGAGAACCCTAATATTTATTTCTTCTTTTGAGCATCTCTGGTCCTTCTATGCTTATAAACAAATAATGAGCTTCTATTTAATGTGAAGCATGTTGCTTTCTAAAGAGTCAGTGTGGTGTATCTTCAGAGTAACTAGTGTCTGGGTTTTCTTTTTTGTTTTTCTCAAATTGTTCTTGAACCAGCTCTCGTGTAAGTGATAATGCACCCAAATGGGCATCAGAAAATCTCTGCTCATATGCCAGTTTTATCAGCTGTGAGCTGTGTGGCACTGACAGGTATCCTGTTCTCCCAAAGTTTCTTTCCCCATTTGAAAAATAAAAAATGATCATCTCTAGATTCCAGTGGTTTTTCTTTAATGATGAATATATATTTATATTATGTTATATATTTAATAAAAATTAAAATATGTATTTATGTTATTATTATGTAGTAATATATGTAACACTCCCTAATAGTTCAGTGTGTTTCTTTCACATGTAAAGTAAGCAATCACTTATTATTACAATAATGTAATAAGAACATAAATAGTATTATGTAATAACAAAAACATATTTATGAATATTTATACACATTTAAATATATAAAATATACTGTATTAGTTAATAATTTTATATATGCTCGGTCATTCAATATGTATGAGTTGTATTCACTATTTCATGTTTAGGCAGCTGTATTTTAAGCGAATATACTAAATATTTGAAAGGCTTTTGTTATCAAGGGGTAAGTCTCCTATTTTTTGATGTAGCATTACAATGTACATTTTTTATATAGAACATATAGAATACACTGATTTCCCTCAAAGTCATAAATGCCCAACAGGTCATTCATCGGAGAATATTGAATTTTGAGTCTATTCTAGCATAGAATCATTTACTTCAGTGTTTCTACATCATCACAGCACATTGGAACACCCAGGGTCTTTTATTTTAATTAACAATACCTGGACTCCAATCCAATACAATTAAACCAGAATCTCCTTGATTGGCACTGGAAGGAAGGAGAAGAACAGAAAAACATTTTATCTCTATCCGTGGGCCAAAGTCCACTCAGAAAAAAAGCACAAATTGGATCTAGATGATTGCTTACTTCACATGTCAAAGAGACACACTGAATCAGCAAGGGAGGGTTATAAAAGCATGGCAGCGCAAGCTCACAGTTGTCTTAGTGAGAAGAAGAGGCTCCAATGGATCCTTTTGTGGTCCTGTTGCTCTGTCTCTCTTTTTTGCTTCTCTTTTCACTCTGGAGACAGAGCTCTGGGAGAGGGAAGCTCCCTCCTGGCCCCACTCCTCTTCCTATTATTGGAAACATCCTACAGATAGATGTTAAGGACACCAGCAAATCTTTCGGCAATGTAAGTAAACTTTATGTTCCCCCAGTCACTTGCAAAGGATAAGTTATTTGACTGTTATTTTTAGGTAAAATATATTCCTGGAAGCACACTATTGCAATAGATCATTGTACAGCAAAATACTGCCTCTGAATTTTGATGTTTGTCTTTTTAAGTCTGTCATTGTCAGAAATAGTGGAGTAAGTTGATGCATTTTGTAGATACATAAACATTGGGGTCACTGTATGATAGAATCAGGTAACACAGTGGCAAAAGTTTGAAGTGCTGTCGCCCTTCTTTGCTTCATAGTGTTTTTCTACAATTTTTGACTGAAGGGAAGTGTGTGTGACTAGAAATTTCACCCAATAAGTCCTCTACTATAGTAGTCCTGTGTTTTATTCAGAATAGCCATGAAAATTCAACTTCTCTGAAGATTCATTTGATACCTGATGTGAAATAAAAATATCTATGGGTTCAAGACAAGCATAGGTGCATGTAATAAAGAAGTAAATAGTCAGGGTCCAATTAGTGGTAACAGAATTCTTTTGGATTCTGCACAAAGCTGTTGTCTGTAGTCAAGGTTGCAGGAGAATGGAAAAAATGGTTCTTTCAGGAGATGCTGAATGTCCTGATTCTACCTTTATGGTGCTTCATGTTTCCGTATTGGTAATACCAGCAGTTACAAACTGAACTGGGCATTAGAATTGCCTGGGGTGACACTGAAAATACAGATTTCTAGGGTTCATGATGGGACTGCTGAGTCAGAATCCTCATGGTAAGAGCTTTACAGGTGACCCTGAAGTCCTTAGCTGGGTATTGGCCTCAAGGTGGACATGGAGGAGTGATAAATTGCTCAAGCATCAATGTTTAAATTAGCAGAGGGTCAAGTTTGGAGCTTCTATATATTACCTGTTGGACTTTCAGAATGAATTTGGAATTCTCTGGCCTCAGTTTCTTCATTTTTTAAATGGGGTAAATGAATGTGCTGAATGTGTTGAAGTGAGGATTAACTGTGATTTGTGTACCAATTGCCTGGGTATTCCATGGCACATCATAGGCTATATATAAGTAGCAGCTGTAACAATCACCATCACATTCATTACAAAATTCAGAAATATCCAATCTATGTGTGGCAAATATAAACATAAAGATACAATGATAATATTAGTCTGAATCACACATAATATTTGGAGCAGCTCGTGACTTATTTTGCTGCTATTTGCATTTCCTTTCCCAGCTCTCAAAAGTCTATGGTCCTGTGTTCACCGTGTATTTTGGCATGAAGCCCGTAGTGGTGTTGCACGGATATGAGGCAGTGAAGGAAGCCCTGATTGATAATGGAGAGGAGTTTTCTGGAAGAGGCATTTTCCCAGTATCTCAAAGAACTAGCAAAGAACTTGGTAGGTGCGCATATGCCTGTGTCAGCTTTGGTAACTGGGATGAGGAGGATGGAAAAGAGAGACTTAAAGAGCTTCTCCGCAGAGCTTAGCCTATCTGCATGGCTGCCGAGTGTTGCAGCTCTTTCTTCCTTGGTTGTGAATTCTCCCAGTTTCTGCCTCCTTTTTTTTTTGTTGTTGTTGTTGTTATTGTTAGGAATCATTTTCAGCAATGGAAAGAGATGGAAGGAGATCCGGCGTTTCTCCCTTACAACATTGCGGAATTTTGGGATGGGGAAGAGGAGCATTGAGGAACGTGTTCAACAAGAAGCCCGCTGCCTTGTGGAGGAGTTGAGAAAAAACGAGGGTGGGTGATTCTGCATCACTGACCTTAACAGTCAGCTGTCTTCACTGATATCCTTGGAAACATTTCAGGGGTGGCCCGATCTTCATTGTGCATCCTGGTTGTCAGCCCTGAGGTGGTAGAAGCAGGTTTGAAGCACAGAGACAAGAGAGGTTTTGTGTATCTGTGGTTTGCCTGTACTGATGTGTTGGTTCATATGGTGCAGGGATAAAAGATCATTTAATCCTATTTTCTGCTCAATTTTGTTTCCTGGTTTCCAAATCAAAAATTATAACTAAGGGTATTGAGTTCATTTTTGAAAAGAGTTAAAGAAGGTTTCCCCCATAGCATAAATCTGTGTTACCACCACCTGAACATTTCACCTGAGAACACTTGGAAGGTGGACATGGTGGAAATGACCCCATTGCACTTTTATGGAACATGAACTAAGTGACATATGCTTTCATTTAATTAGCATTTTTTTCATATGATCAGACTCACATGTCTGGGAATTCCTTCCAGGTCCATGCCTTCAGCTCTAGCCAGCAATGACACTATGTATGTTTTTACTTTCTTAGGTATATCTCAGTACAGTTCTCATCAATTCTTATTTCTCAGGAAACACAGTCCTATTTGAAAACTGTCAGGATTAATTACTTCTTGTTAACCACTACTTACTGTAACAATTTACATGTTTGAGTAAATATGTTCCATAGTATAACTCAGCAAAATATACAAATACTAATTTGTAAATAATTTGTTTAACTAGATTTTAACTATGATTAAAAACTCTTTATCCTCTCTTCCTTAATTTTAACTAGCCTATGTTTTCAGTTTTGCTCATCTTTTCTTCCCCTGTATTGGATCTTAGCTTTGAAATTTGTGATAATCATTTTTGACCCACTGCCAATCCTATTCACCTATGAAGTACTTGTCATAATCAATATGATTATCAGCTGGGATATCAAATTACCTTTTTCCATTTACTCTCCCAAATGCAATGACAAAAAGCCCTGAAAATCAGATTGTACTTGAGAATCTCACACACACAGACACACACACAGACACACACACACACACATGCACACAAACACACACACATTCACCAAGTCTTCCCACATTACCTTTCCTCCCTTTGGCTAAAACAACACTTTTTCTGAAACTTAGAGCCCTGTAATGTTTAAAGGAGCCTGTCATAGAAGTAGCTAACTCAGTAGGTTTCCTGTTTTTCAATGTTCCAATGTCCCAACTTTATTCAGAACTCTTTCATTTCATGTCACCTTTATTTAGGAGCTATAGATGTGAATTTGGGAGCCCTTTCCATTAATGTTCACTAGTGACTTGGTTACAGCAATTTCATTTTAGAGATTCCCTCACCAAAAAACAAAAATCTTTTAAATAATTTCTGTACCTGTAAAATGATAGACTTGGCCTAACTTATGGCCAAATTTACAACTGCATTAAAACATACTTATCTTAATGACTATACTGAATAATATCCCAGAATCCACAAAACAGTAGTTTCGCCCACATGAATTAAATTTGGAGGATGGTTGGGAATGATAAACATTATTTCTTCAGGAGGGAAATTCTTTTTTTACAAATTGAAAAACGAAATAAAAAGATTCCATTTATCAATTTACTTTTTGGTTAGCCTTACTGGAATTTAGATTTGAAATAAAAAGTTATCCATTTTACTTATTTAGATAAACAAATCTATGTTATACTTAATGCTCATTTGTATTAGTTTTTCTTCTCATATTACATGGATGTATCTGCTTTTCACATTTGTTCCCTCAAACACATGCATTCAGTCCCAATCTCCCTGACTTTATTTCTGTTGGTTCAGCCCACAATGCTTTCAGCTATTCACTACATATAAGACATTTACAGGTCCCCAACTTTTCTCTTCCCATCTCTGTGCTTTATCGTCCAGAGACTTTGCAGACAGATGTGATCCTTCTCTAAAAACTTGAATTATTTGGATTTTGAAAAAGTCGTCTTTTTCTTTCCAAAATAAAAGACATCTTTGGTTAAAAGAGTTTAAGTAAAGGCAGTGGATATGAATTACCACATGTGAAGTGACATTGTTTAGCTAGATTGTAATGCACAGCTCATATTTAAGGTAAAAATGATATGTTGATTTCATTCATGTTGATTTTTTCTTTTGGACATATGAGGAATTTGTAAGATATTGTTTAAAATTTATAAATTCCCTTTATGTCTTGATAAATGCGTATCTTTTAAATATTTACATTTTAATCATATTTTAAAATTGTTTTTAAATCTTTAGCCTCACCCTTTGATCCCACTTTCATCCTGGGCTGTGCTCCCTGCAATGTGATCTGCTCCGTTGTTTTCCAGAATCGATTTGATTATAAAGATGAGACTTTTCTCACCCTGATGAAAAGGTTCAATGAAAACTTCAGGATTCTGGGCTCTCCATGGATCCAGGTAAGGCCAAGATTTTATCTTCCTGGGAAACCACCTATGCTCTTTTTTCTGATAAGTCCAAAATTCTATTTGGTGATTTACCAAGGCATGAAGTGCATGTTTGAACACCACAGTCCTCAGAAATTTATGAAGTGAACATCTAGGAAAGATGACCAAGCTTTTTATTTTACACACAGAAAATGAATGCCCTAATACAGGGGTTGCTTTCAAGTCTATTGGCCTCCTGACCAGTGATTTATCCACTAAATCCAAAAGGCTGTTTTGATAAACTACTTTGGTGAAAGCCCAAAATCATGCCCATATCACTCCATGGACATCTGGGGCCTTTCTGAAGATTTTCATTACTCAGTAGGCTTATCCTCCAATCCACACTTACTGACCTCTTCTTCACATTACTCTGCAGAAATGTCCTAATGTAGGGAAGGAATATCTCCCATCAAAAAGGGAGAATATTTGTGACCATAGAAGGTGCCAGGAAACACTGATTAGGGCAGGGGTGTTTGATGCTGCAGCTGAGATCCTGGCTAATGAGGCAGCTGGGTTAAGAATGACAAAAAGAGTTGGTGTTATGATGTATGAACCATAAACAAACATCCAAATTTTACCGTTTCCTGAGTTGCATGCCCTACATTCTGCCTAAATAATAATTGTGTGATCTTAGAGAAATCACTTAAGGTGCGCAGTTGGGTTTTAAGGTATCTTTTTGCTGCTCCCACTTCTAAAACACTAATTCCATTTTCAAAGCTACTTGACAGCAATAAAAAATTTGTGTGATCTTAGAGAAAACACCCAGGTGCACAGTTGGGTTTTAAGGTATCTTTGAGCTGCTCCCACTTCTAACACACTGATTCCATTTTTGAAGCTACTTGACAGAAATAAAAACAGTGAGCTCTAGCTTTGTGTTCTCCGTGAGTTGCCCAAACTCCCTTAACCTCTGGAATCATCGACTAAGTATAAATCATAGTAATTCATGCCATATTATATTTCAAGGTTGTAGGGAAGACTTGGTTTAAAAATGAGAAAATTGATAATAGAAATACTTTTATACAATAAAAATGATGTATGAGTGAAGAAAATTATTATCTTTGATTCCCTGGTCAAAATTTTCTCCCTCCAATCTTTAGGTAGAGAGAATTGCTATACATGCACAATAAAAATTTCCCCATCAAAATAGATACAATATTCTATTCATATTTATAGCTATAATTTCTAATCAGGGCTTGGTGGAAGATACATATGTCTATGACCTGTTTATATTTACTATTTTTTTCTCTTTTAGGTCTGCAATATTTTCCCTCTCTTCTTGGATTATTTCCCAGGAACTCACAACAAATTGTTTAAAAATGTTGCTCTTACAAAAAGCTATATTGAGGAGAAAATAAAAGAACACCAAGCATCACTGGATATTAACAATCCTCGGGACTTTATCGATTGCTTCCTGATCAAAATGCAGCAGGTAAGACATTAGCAACAGCTCAGTATTTTGATTTCTTCTTCATTGTGTGATTCATCAAATCCTTCTGTAATTTACTAGGGATGTTTAAATGGTCAGGTCAGCAATGTTTGACAAGCATCTTAATTACATACTGTGTTTATGAACCTGCACCAAACATCATGGAAAATATAAAATTGTCAAATGGCTAGAATGCATAGACCCTATCTTTTGGAAGCATTGCCATATTAGCAATTTCGATTCTTTCAATCCTTTGACATGACATGGTTTTACATTTATTTAGGTATTCCTTATATTTTTTTAAGCAACACTTGATAGTTTTCAGTCTTTTATCTTCTTGGTTGTAGATTCTTAGGACTTTTGGCCCTTTTGATGCTATTGCAAATTTAATTATTTCCTTGATTTTATTTTCATATTGCTCAATTGCTGATATAAGCAAATACAACTCATACCTGTATCAATCTTACACAGTACAATTAAGCTGAAAACATTTATCAGCTCCTGGTTTTTTTTTTGTGTGTGTGGGTTTTATGGACTTTTATTTATATAGAACTGTTATTTTAAAATAGAAATAGTTTTACATTTTCCTTTCTTACCTAAATGCCTTTTATTTCTCTTTCTCGTCTAATTGTTTTGGCTAGGACTTAAGTACTGTGCTGAACAGCAGTAGTGAAATTGCATACACTTGGATCATTTCCCCCTGATTTGGGGACATAAGCATTTAGATTTTCACAATTTTATATAAAATACCTTTGGAATTTTTATGCATATTATTATAAGGAATTTTTCTTCTATTCATATTTTTGGGTTATTTTTATCATGAAGAGTATTGAATCTTGTCTTATGCTCTCTCAGCTTCTATTAAGATGGTCATTTTGTTAGATTTTTTCTTTCCATTTAATAAGGTGGTGTATTACATTGATTGCTTTCTTATTGAACCACCCTTGCATTCCATGTATAGATCCCATTTAGTTACGACATACAATCATTAATTTTTTTAAAAAAATATATGCATAACATACAAATTGCTAAATTATTTCTCTTTCTTATCTAATAGTTTTGGCTAGGGTCTTAAGTACTACGTTGAATAGCAGTAGTGAAAGCCAATATACTTAGGTTTCTTCCCACTGATTTTAGGTCATTAGCTTCTAAATTTTCACAATTTGATATAAAATACCTTTGGAATTTTTATAAATACATTGTATTATAAGGAATTTCCCTTCTATTCATATTTTTGAGTGAATTTTTAAGTTATACTTTAAGTTCTGGGATACATGTGCAGAATGTGCAGGTTTGTTGCATAGGTATACATGTACCAAGGTGGTTTGCTGCACTCATCAAGCCATCATCTAGGTTTTAAGCCCCACATGCATTAGATATTTGTCCTAATGCTCTCCTTCCCCTTGCCCTCAACCCTGCAACAGGCCCCGGCATGTGATGTTTCCCTCCCTGTGTCCATGTGTTCTCACTGCTGAACTCACACTTTTGAGTGAGAACATGTGATGTTTGGTTTTCTGTTCTTGTGTCAGTCTGCATAGAATGATGGTTTCCAGTTTCATCCATGTCCCTGCATAGGACATGAATTTATTCTTTTTTATAGCTGTATAGTATTCCATGGTGCATTTGTGCCACATTTTCTTTATCTAGTCTACCATCCATGGGCATTTGGATTGATTCCAAGTCTTTGCTATTGTAAACAGTGCTGAAATAAACATATGTGTACATCGACCTTTATAATAGAATGATTTATAATCCTTTGAGTATATACCCAGTAATGCGATTGCTGGGTCAGATGGTATTTCTAGTTTTAGATTCTTGAGGAATTGCCACACTGTCTTCCACAATGGTTGAACTAATTTGCACTCCCATCAACAATGTAAAAGCTCTCCTATTTCTCTGCATCCTCACTAGCATCTGTTGTTTCCTAACTTTTTAATGATTGCCATTCTAACTGGTATGAGATGGTATCTCATTGTGGTTTTGATTTGCATTTCTCTAATGACCAGTGATGATGAGCTTTTCTTTCATATGATTGTTGGCTGCATAAATGTCTTCTTTTGAAAAGTGTCTGTTCGTATCCTTCACCCGCTTTCTGATGGGTTTTTTTTTTTCCTGCAAATTTAAGTTCCTTGTAGATTCTGGATATTAGACCTTTGTCTAATAAAGACTATTGAATTTTGTCTTATGCTTTCTCAGCTTCTTTTTTGATAACAATTTTGTTAGATTTTTCCTTTCCTTCTAATAAGGTGGTGTATTACATTGATTGATTTTTGTATTGAACCACCCTTGCATTCCTCCTATAGATCCCATTTATTCATGATGTATAATCCTTAATTTTTTTTTTTTTTTTTTTTTTTGAGACGGAGTTTCGCTGTTGTTACCCAGGCTGGAGTGCAATGGCGCGTTCTCGGCTCACCGCAACCTCCGCCTCCTGGGTTCAGGCAATTCTCCTGCCTCCGCCTCCTGAGTAGCCGGGATTACAGGCACGTACCACCATGCCCAGCTAATTTTTTATATTTTTAGTAGAGACGGGGTTTCACCATGTTGACCAGGATGGTCTCGATCTCTTGACCTCGTGATCCACCCGCCTCGGCCTCCCAAAGTGCTGGGATTACAGGCTTGAGCCACCGCGCCCGGCAATTTTTTTAATATATATATTTTTATTGTACTTTAGGTTCTGGGGTATCTGTGTAGATCATGCAGGATTGTTGCACAGCTACATACATGGCAAAATGGTTTGCTCCCTCCATCTCCCCATCACCTGTATCTGTTATTTCTCCCCATATTATTGCTACCCAACCTCCCTATCCCCCTCCATCCCTGATTTAGTCCCCCACAACAGATACCAGTGTGTGATGCTTCCCTCTGTGTCCATGTGTTCTCATTGTTCAACACCTATGAGTGAGAACATGCAGTGTTTGATTTTCTGTTCTTGTGTCAGTTTGCTGAGTATAACTTTAAAATTCACTAAAAAATATGAATAGAAGGGAAATTCCTTATAATACAATGTATTTATAAAAATTCCAAAGGTATTTATATCAAATTGTGAAAATTTAGAAGCTAATGACCTAAAATCAGTGGGAAGAAACCTAAGTATATTGGCTTTCACTACTGCTATTCAACATAGTACTTAAGACCCTAGCCAAAACTATTAGATAAGAAAGAGAAATAATTTAGCAATTTGTATGTTATGCATTTTTTTTTAATTAATGATTATATGTCATAACTAAATGGGATCTATACATGGAATGCAAGGGTGGTTCAATAAGAAAGCAATCAATGTAATACACCACCTTATTAAATGGAAAGAAAAAATCTTACAAAATGACCATCTTAATAGAACCTGAGAGAGCATAAGACAAGATTCAATACTCTTCATGATAAAAAAAACACCAAAAATACGAATAGAAGAAAAATTCCTTATAATAATAATATGCATAAAAATTCCAAAGGTATTTTATATAAAATTGTGAAAATCTAAACGCTTAGTTTCTTTGCATTGGGTTAGCACATGTTCTTTTAGCTGGATTTTCTTTATACCTGTCGATGTTCATCTGTGGCTGGACATTCAAGAATCGGTTATTTTTGTCATGTTTGAAGTCTGGGATTTTTTTTGTACCCATCCTTCTTGGTAGGCTTTCCAGATATTAAGAAGGACTTAACCTGTTTTGATTTGCCCCTAGAATACTACGCTGGCAGTGAATTGCACTTTTTTTTTTTTTTAAATAAATGGGAAGTGAGTTGTGTTGTAATCTAAGCTGTATCTGCTTTAGGGGCACTCCAAGACCAGTAATGCAGTGGTTCTTGAAGACTTGTAGATGTACTACCTTGATAATCTTGGACAAGCTCCAAGAGAATTCTCCAGATTACCAGGCAGAAACCCTTGTTCTCTTCCTTTGGTTTCTCCCAAATAAACAAAGTCTCTCTCTCTCTGTTCTGAGCCATCCAAAGCTGGGGATGAAGTAACACAAGCACCCATGTATCCACCACCACTGTGACTGCACTGGGTTAGGCTTAAAGTCAGCAGAGCACTGGGTCTTGTCCAAAGCCTGCTGTAACCACTCCCTAGCTACTGCCATGTTTTCAAGGATCTGGGGTTCTACAATCAGCTGGTGGTGAATCCAGCCAGGCCTGTGTCCTTTCCTTCAGTGCAGCAAGTTCCTTCAGTCCCCAGGCATGTCCAGAGGTACTACCCAGAAGCCCAAGACTAGTCAAAAACCTTAGAAGTCTATTTGGTGTTCTGCTCTACCACAGCCTAGCTGGCACTCAGACCACAAAATGCAGTCTTTCCGACTCTTCTCTTTCCTTTCTAAAGGCAGTGGAGTTTCTTTTGGCAGTGAAAGCTAGGCAGCTTGGGATTAGGAGATGGGGGATGATAGTATTCCCTTACCCATCCCCAGCTGGTGTCTCAGGTTGCACACCCCCATCCCCAGTCTACTGTTTGCACCCAATTCAGCACTGGGACTCACATAAAAGTTACAGTCCTTGTAGCCTAGACTGCCTTTCAAGTTTATTTACAGTCCCAGAGTCCTATAGCCCACAGTGATGAGGCTTATAGAAACTCAGTTCCAACTACTGGTATCAAAGATTCACCTTTGGCCAGGGCTGGTTTAAATGCATCAGTGGGCATCAGCCGAATTTGGGCTGGTTTTCCTTTCTGCCATAACAGAACAGCACTGATTTTATGCTCTAAAATTGCTATGCTTTCCCTCCCTCAGTATTAAGAAATGCTCTCTGAACCATGCCACTGCTTCCAGGGGAAAAGAGGGTGTCAGTAATTCAGTACTATTTTTTTCTACCTCTTCAGTTCCTCTTTCAATGATATACATTTAAATCTAGGTACCCATCTGATTTTGGTTTTATGAAGGTACATTTTGTGTAAAAAGCTGTTAAATTGATGTCCTTGCAGGAGGAATAATCAGTGAAGCTTTCTATTCTGCCATCCTGTTCCACTCTCCATTTGTATACCTTCTTTTGAGAAATTTCTGTTCGTTCTATTTGCCCACTTTTTAATGATACTACTTGGGTTTCTCCTTATAGATTCTAGAAAATAGTCCTTTGTTGAAGGTATATTTTGAAAATATTTTCTCTCATTCTGTAGGTTATTTGCTTACTCTGCTTGTCATTTCTTTTACTGTGCAGAAGCTCTTTAGTTTACTTAGGTCCCATTGCCAACTTTTTTTGTTGAAATTGCTTTTAGACACTGAGTTATAAATCCTTAGCCTATACCAAAGCTCAGAAGAGTTTTTTCTAGGGTTTTGTCTAGAATTTTTATGATTTCAAGTCTCATAAAAGTCCTAGTCTATCTTGAATGAATTGTTGTATATGGTGAGATAGAAAATCATATCTCATTCTTCTACATGTTCCCCTGGGAAATATAAGCCAAGCACAGATCCTACAGCTACCTCCGTAGGTGGCTCTCTCCTGCAAGAAACATCTCCTAGCTGGAAACCGATGGGCACAGCCTATTACCGCATCTTCTGTCAAAATAACATAGCATTTGTGAAGGAGAAAACTTTTGTCTTATATCAGCTAACACCATGCCTACATTATCCCAGCTAACCAGAAGGTCTTGAGTGTGTTCACAAGCCCAGTACATTGCTAGTGCAGCTGGCATTTGAGAAAACCACCATACTAAGGCTATTTATAACCAAGGAAATCTTACAGAGTCTATGTAACTCTCCTGCCACTCCCAACAGTGGTGGTGCTTGCACCTGCTGTTGGGAGACCAGAGGATAGGCAGGCCCAGTTAAGCCCCACTCAACATTGTCCTCCTTTGTACCAAAGAGTGCAGTCTAAGCCACTGTACATCTCTCAGGCCTTTCCACAGTCTGAGGCATCAGAGATTTCCAGTTGGCTGACAAAGAAGTCAATGACCAATTATCCTCAAATGAAGAGCCAATATTACAGGTGAATAATCATAGGCCAAATAGAGTATGAAAGAGAGAGTAATGGAGCTTATTGGTCAACTCAAAGGAAGAATCTACAACTCACAAACACACACACACACACACACACACACACACACACACACAAATAAAGTAAGAAGCTGGCAAAGGTCAAACACTGAGAGACTTAGTAATCTATGGAAAAGGCAGGTGGCAGGTGGGAGTGTTCTCTGCTTTCCTACCCAATCTTGAAGACTGCTAGGGTCTGAGGTCAAGGTGGGCTTCTTTGCCTTCATGAGCACAAGTACTGTAGTGAGCTGTGGTTTTGAGACTTCTTGAGGACATTACCTTGTTCACATAAGGTCTCTTTCCTTTTCCCTTGGATCTGAGCTCTTTTTAACTATTTTTGTAGAATTCACTAATGAAGATATCCTGAGCTGGAACTTTTTTTAGCATGGGAGTTCTTGATTGCTAATTCAAATACTTATCAAAGGTATACTCACACTTTACATTTATGAGATCTTTATTTGATTAGTCCCTTAGCCTTGGCATTTGCATTGCCCCTACTCTTCTGCATCCAATATAGGCAGTTAATACCTCAAGTCTTTGTATTAATAATTGACATTTCTCTTCACTTTGTATATTCCTACTTATTCCTGAACTTGTTCCCTAGAATAAGTTGCCTGTTGCCTCCCATCTGGATTGCAATTTTGTTAGACCTATCTTGTCTTTGTGAGCTCATTCTCTTTCATTACATTTTATTCTTAGTTTTGTTCACATATTTGTTTTAAACAATTTCAGCTTCATAATGAATATGTAGGCAATACTGAGTCTTTGTAAATTTTTGATGAAAGAACAGAATTGCAAACTCTTGATTCAAGAGAGTAATGCTTTTCATAATATGGCCCCAATTTACCTATATTTATAAACTAAAATTGTTTTCACTTAAAAATAAGAAAAAAATTATAAAAATGAATGTGTTAGGCTATTCTTGCATTGCTATAAAGAAATATCTGAGGCTAGATAATTTATAAGAAAATGGGATCTGCTTGGCTCACAGTTCTGCAGGCTGTACAAGCATGATATTGGCATCTCCTCAGCTTCTGGAAAGTCCTCAGGGAGCATTTGCTCATTGCAGTAGGCAAAACAGCAACAGGCACATCACATGGCAAGAGAAGAAGCAAGTTAGAGAAACAGTTTTAAACAACCAGATCTATGTGAACTCACTTATTTTCAGGATAGCATCAAAGGAAAAAAATTCATGAGAAATCTACCCCCATGATCCAATCACCTCTCACCAGGTCCCAAATACAACACTGGGGATTGGATTTCAACTAAAGATTTGGGGAGACAAGTATTTATTACACAAACTATATCAAGAGCTTAACCAAATAGTTGGTTTATACATCTCAAATACAAGAAGTCTTATGGTGGGCTAGATTAGAAATAATATGGTAGCCCTGAAGCATCAGAGAGTCAAGTGCCTTATTTTTTTTTCACCATATTTAGTATAGAAGTCTTGATGACTATGACCAAATATTCATGTCCCAAGATGATGTCAAACCTACCTCCTCCTTCACATTTGTGTTTTGAGTAATAAGAAGAAAATAAAAGAAGATTCATGTTCTGGTTTGATTGTGTCCCCTAGAGTTCATGCACTAAAAATGATTGCCCAGTGCAATAGTGTTGGAAGGTGCAGCCTAACAAGACATGACTAGGTCATCAGTATTCTGCCCTTATAAGTATACTCATATCATTACTGCGAGAGTTGTGTGGTTCTTGACAGTTTGTTATCAATGTGAGTGTGGCTCTTTCTTGTTCTCTCACTCTTACCCTTCCTTGTCCTTCTACTTTTTGCCATGCAATGAAATAGTATGAAGGCAATTGCCAGAGGCCAGTGCCATCCTCTTGGACTTCCCAGTCTTTAGAATCATCAGAAATAAATTTATTTTCTTTATAAATTACCAAGTTTACAGTATTCTGTTATATAACACAAATTGAACTAAGACAGGGCATCAATGTACTTCTGCTTATATTTCTGGGGAAATAAATATTCTTTTTAACTAAACTAAGCAGCAAATGATTTCATGAATGGAATTTGTAGGTCTATCAGGAAATAAAGTTTGAGTCAACTGATCTGCAGTTTCTGCCATACCATATGGTTATTTTTTCTAATACTGTATCGCCCAGTTTCTCTCCTGGCTAATTTTATAACAGTGTGTTTTTTAAAAAATTTAGTGTAATTAGATATGCTGGCACGTAATTTCTCAGATAATTGCATGAAATCACTTCTAGGAAAAGGATAACCAAGAGTCTGAATTCACTATTGAAAACTTGGTTAGCACTGTAGCTGATCTATTTGTTGCTGGAACAGAGACAACAAGCACCACTCTGAGATATGGACTCCTGCTCCTCCTGAAGCACCCGGAGGTCACAGGTAGGACCACAGATGATGAACAAACTGAATTTCAGAACAATGCTGAGAAGATGGTGCCAGTGTCCTCCATTCTGTTTCCCTTAGAGAAGCTTCATTCTTTAAATTTCTGTGTCATCAGCTGTAATCTGTCTAAATTTGATGACATCATTAAAAAGGACATCTTCGCACGATGGAGGAGGATGACCAAGATAAGTAAAAACAGTATGGCAGCAGCAAAATGAATAAAGCCCTGATTAAGTGTCTGGATTTCAGCAGAGGCAATTTGTGGTAGGGAGAGCCAACATAATTTGGCCTGGTATTGAATGTTGGTTTTATTATGAAAAGTCCACTTTGAACAGTAGGTACATTCTTGAAGATATCTTTTCTCATTTTGAAAATTCCATGCTCTAATGCTGGGGTAGGGAGATAAAAACAATCTTTATTGAAGCATAAGTGGAAATTCTAGAATTGTAGTGAGGCATCCTGAGATAAATTCCAGTTTGAGAAGTAATCTAAAAGACTCCTAAGAAAGGTGTTTTCATTTAAGCAGAGGCCATACCTAAAGGAATTTTATTATTCTAGAAGTGTGTTTCATACAACTGCGGTTTTACCAAATAGGAATTTTTGGAAGGGGGGTTAATAATTGCATCTTTCCAATACAACTTTTCTTTAGAATTTACAATTTACCTTTAGAGTAAATTCTACATTTCCTTAGACTTTACCTTTAAATACTTCCTGTTTTGCAGCAGATAGCATCCCTTTTCCCCTGTGTCAGGATCTCACAGAAATTTCAATAACTAAATTATAAATTAAAATTAACTTGCTGAAGTAAAAGGAGAGGAGAATAGAAAACAGCCAATAAGTCTTTAGCAAATTTCTAAAATACAGAGAGTCAATGGAGAATTGACAATTGACACAGCATAGAGGATGAAGTTGTAACCTAAGTGTCAGCAGAGGAAGATTTATCAAGAGGAAAAGCTAATATGTGTCGTGTCACTATGATTCTTATAAGGTTATTTGGAGGTATCAAGGGCCAAAGAAGGTAGAGAATGGGGCTGAAAAGGAGGCTCTCCCAGGTTTTCTCCATAACTCCTTTTATCAGGTACCTGATTTTTTCCCACTGGAAAAGTGAGGCACACTCTCCAGAGAAACTGAGGCTAAGAAGCCCTGTACTTGGGAATAATTTACAGGGCCAGAAAAGAGTGAGCTGCGAAGCCAGAAAAAAAGGTTTGGGAAAGATGTACTCCTCAGATTCAAAGCCTCAGCATTTTTCTCCATCTTGCTTCCTGACATTCAGTAGTCAGCTAGATATTCTCCAGAGAAGAAACAAGTCTAGAGAAAAGACCCCCATATTTTGCCATGTTAAGTTACAAGCGTTCAGCAAAGTAAATGAAATTAAAACATGCACCACAGGACACAGGGTCATAGAATTTTGGAACACCAGAAGTAAAGGGAAGATCTTTCAGAGACATATATTAGGTCATGTATAAAATATCAGCATTCAGACAGCATCAGAATTCTCAAGCATAGTATCTTGTGTATTAATAGAAAAAAAATAGACCTGTATGCTTGCTACAAATTTCATGTTCTATACTAACTTTCTCCAATACCAGAGGTTGTGCTCCATCTCATTTCTCAAACCAAGTCAGTAGAAATCACAGGTGCCAGGAATCAGCAGACCTCATGTAAGAGAATGAGAGTATCAGAGAGACTGCTGGGCACCAGTCCCAGAAAACAACCACTTCAGAAAAGACCAGGTGGATAACACATGTAGAGGAGATGTCAAGAAACAAAGAGATGTGATTCATAGTCTGAGATTTCCATATAATTGGGAAATTATTACTGGGAGTTGCAAACATGTACCTGAGCATGTGCAAATAGTCTAACTTGAAGCATATAAAATTGTGATTTAACTAAAGAGCTAACGAAGAATGTGTGTGTATAGATGTGTGTGTGTGTGTGTGTGCGTGTGTGTGTGTGTGTGTGTGTCAGAATGATGTAAATAATGAATAGTGATATAACCTAGAATTTTGGTCTAAATATATTCCGATAAGTAGGAGAATTGTGTGTGTTTGCGTGTGTGTGTGTGTGTATACATATTGCTTTGTGGGTGTGTGTCTATATATGGAATAGAGATGGAGATTAAAATTCTCATCTCCCATACCAGAAAATCATAAAATATTGTCTAAAAATTGTTAAGTAAAAAATATAAAGAGATAGTGGTTATTTAGAAATATGAATATACACTTCAGAAGAAGCTGCTAGCATGTTCAAAGTGGCCACAATTGGGAACTGGAAGAGCAAAGAGAGTACCATTGCTAATTGCACCTCCCACACACACACACACACATGAATGCGCAAAAAACACAAACACAAATATATTTATAAAACCATTACAATTTAGCAGTATACCTCATGTATTATTTTGATAATATATATACTATTTGATTCTTATTTTTCTGTTTACAAGTGCTGTAATTTCTTGACTTATTGTGTTCTGTTTATTTTTTAAATTTATTACTTACATCTCTATTAGTTGTTATGTGTGTTAATTTATAGAAATGTACTTGTGTACTGTAATTACTAGTTTGTAAGAGAATGATATGTATCTATTTTATGGCAATTCTCTTTATACGGCTGGTTGTACTTCTGGACATGTAACTCATGTTTGTAATGTTGTTGGGATTTTTATGTGATGTTTAATGTGGCCATGAATTGCTATGATAAATGTTCTATGTATCTCTGTTTCCATCAGTTCTTCCTTGTGTCTTGTCAGCTAAAGTCCAGGAAGAGATTGATCATGTAATTGGCAGACACAGGAGCCCCTGCATGCAGGATAGGAGCCACATGCCTTATACGGATGCTGTAGTACACGAGATCCAGAGATACATTAACCTTGTCCCTGCTGGTGTGCCCCATGCGGTGACCACTGACATTAAGTTCAGAAATTACCTCATCCCCAAGGTAAGCTTGTTTCTCTTACACTATATTTCTGTGCTTCTGAAATTTCCAAAATGCCAGTTTGACTCCAATCGTCTAAAAACACAAGATGAGAGAAGTCCAGTTCTCATATATGCAGCAGCTTGATGGACTTTCTGCTATTTTGTTGGGGCTATAAAGATTTATAAAGCTCTTTTCTTTTTTTTCTTTTTTTTTGCATTTTAGGTTTTGGGGTACATGTGAAGAACATGCAAGATTGTTGCATAGGTACACACATGGCAGTGTGATTTGCTGCCTTCCTCCCCATCACCTATATCTGGCATTTCTCCCTGTGCTATCTCCCCCCAACTCCTCACCTATAATAGGTCTCCTTAATAGGCTACTCTTAGGTGTTTACATTTTCAAATAATTGTTGAAAATAATCAGTGTGCCAATTTCCCAAAACACTCTTCTGAGATTTTTATCAAAGTGACATTCAATGCATAGTTCAATCTGAGAAGACTTAGCATGTTCATGCATTGAATTTTTAAATTCATGAATACGGTTATGCTCACAACTTACTGAGCTTTATTCTGTTTTCTCAGTAATGTTTTAGTTTCAGTACAGTGGTTTACAACTCTATCATTACATTTTTCCTAGATAATTAATATTTTATTGTTATAAATTTCTATTTATTTGTAACTGGTATATGTAATTGTATCTAATTTTACTATTCTGATGACCTTATATCTATCAACTTTCCTAAATTTACTGATCATTGCTAATAATTTACCTGTGGATATGCTTGGAATTTCTATATACATTATCTTGCTATCTAGGTATGTATTAATATGTGTTTTATTTCTTATTTTCTAATTATTTTGTCCTTAATTTATCTTTATTGCATTATTGCACTGGCTAGTCTTTCCAGGATAGCACTGAACAGAATTGGTGATAGAGGGCATCCTTTTATTTCATTTCTAATCTGCTGGAGGGTAGAGTATAAGAATATTAATATTTCACTACTAAGAATGATGCTTTTACTATTTTAGTAGATACTCTTTATCAGAAATCTTTAAGATGTTAGTAGATGTTCTTTATCAGATTAGGAAAATTTTCCCTCTTCTCTTATTTTTATATAAATTTTTGTCATGAATATGTGTGCAATTTTATCAAATTGATTCTCTGCATCTGTCTGATTGCATACACTGGCCTCACATCCCTCACTAAATATATATAAGTATACAGAAAAAGCTGTATTTGCTCTGTTACTTATTGTATAGGACTTTTGTATTTATATTCATAAGATATTTTGTCTGCAACTTTTCTTCTTCAAAAGTTTCTTGTCAGAGTTATGATAACAAGATAATGCTGGCTGCATAAAACTAGGTGAGAAATGTTCCTAATGCGGGTCTGTTTTTATTGCTTTCCCTTTCTTCCACTTTTCTTCTTGTGACCACTTAGTTGCATTCTTGAAATGCCTAAAAACCTTTGGCTTGGTACCAGATATAATATATGAAAAAATGCAGAATTTCAGAGAATGGATTCATTCCTCTCTCATAGGCAGTAATAATGACAACACCTCCTGTCCTGAATCAGAATTGAACATGATGTGAACACAGTCATATGGTCTGTAGGTATGGACTTACCTCTCTGAGGTTCTTCCATCACTGGGACCAATTTTTGCCTTTGTAATCTGGAGACCAATTTTAGTCTTTGCAGTTTTACAATACCTTCTATCACATGGTTTCTGTATTCAGATGTTTTCCTTGCTGTGCTATAAGCCACACAATTCCACTTACTATTATGCAATTAAAAATAATAGAAGTTATATTTTCATGAAGGAAAACAATGAGATTGATAAGGTTTCAATTACTAATGTCATCCTCTGGAGAAGACAGAATTGATAACTTATAAAGATGCAATGGGGTTTGCCCTAATTGTCACTGATTTCCTGCAAGAGTTAGGACTTCAATCTACACTGTTTTTACCAAAGCACACAGCCAGGAGAGGCTTGTCTTTCTCAGTGCTGGAACCTATCTGTACCTCCATACTGTAGTGCGTATGCCCCAAAACGAAGATTTTCCTTATACACAGTAATAAAGTATTGATACTCAGTAGTTATTGTTCAAATAATAGTACAGCCTAATTTAAATGTTTCCAATTTTCTGAGAATATTTTTATGGCTTTTTTCTTCTGCAGTTTACTATCCAGGCAAGGAACAAGCATATAATTAATTTGTGTTGACGTTTTCACCTCCTATAATTAAGGAAAGTTCCTTTCCTTGTTTGTTTCCTTTCAATCAGTTGATCTTTTTGAGACCAGCAGTCATTTAAAATGTTCCTCAGACTGGTTTTGTGTGACTGTTTTCTAGAAGAAGATTCCAGCTACAAATTTGGCAAGAAAACTACATAGGTGCTTTAAATATCCCACTGAATCACATTGATGAGGGACGAGCATAAAATGTCACATGTGCCATTATTGTTCATGCTAAGTTCCTCACATAGTATGGTGGTGTCCTTCAGATCTCACATTGCAGAGGTTCTGCTTTTTTTTTTTTTTAATTGAGACAGAGTCTCACTCTGTCACCAGTCTGGAGTGCAGTGGCATGATCTCAGCTCACTGCAACCTCCACCTCCAGGGTTCAAGCAATTCTCATGCCTCAGTCTCCTGAGTAACTGGGACTACAGGCGTGCACCACCACACCCAGCTAATTTTTGTATTTTTAGTAGAGACAGGGTTTCACCATGTTGGCCAGGATGGTCTCACTCTCTTGACCTCATGATCCTACTGTCTCAGCCTCCCAAAGTGCTGGGATTACAGGAGTGAGCCACTGTGCCCAGCCTGATCTGCTTTTTATATGCAACTAGCAAAAATCTATGGGGGTACATTAAGACTATGTGTAACTCCTGCTTCCAGAATCACATACCCATTGATTCTAGCTTTATTTGATGATCCTTGCCTGACCTGATGATCCTGACTTGAATAGTGACAAAGTGATAATTTTTTTAATTTTATCTTTTCAGTGTTTTAAACTAACATTAATCTATAGATGGTAAAAATAAATATAGTTTTTACTTGTTATTGCACTTGTTATTATCATCTCAGAAGATATCATATTTAGATTAGATGTTTATTTACAAAAGTTTCATGAACAGTTACTCTGGACATTTCAGATATCAACAGAGATTTCCATTTTAAATCATAATCTACATAATCTAAACACAAGATGTGTGAAATTTGAAGAGATGAAATAGAGCGGCAAGTGGGGACAGACAAGGGCATCCAAACTTGATCAGGAGAACATATTCAGAAGGTTACACACAAGTACCCAAGATGTAAGACTTCAAATGTATTGGAAAGCTCTTCAGCTAGATTCCATCACTGGCCTTAAACTCATCCATGTAAATTACTGTATCTGGCTGGACCTGAGTTTCCTCATCTAAAGATCAGTGATATGAGGCTATGTGATGTCCACTACTTCTTCTCACTTCCAGTCTTCTTTATAAATCAGATTATCTGTTTTGTTACTTCCAGGGCACAGCTATAATGTCATCACTTACTTCTGTGCTGTACAGTGACAAAGAATTTCCCAATCCAACGACCTTTGACCCTGGCCACTTTCTGGATAAAAATGGCAACTTTAAGAAAAGTGACTACTTCATGCCTTTCTCAGCAGGTAATATAAACTTATCTCTATCTGTATTTAAGGGAAAGATAGAACTCTTGGGAATCAGTTGCAATTTATATGGCACCTCCTCTGGGTCTGGTAGAATTGCTATTTGTTCATCATCAAGAGCACAACTCCCGATACCCATGTGCTCCACCCTAACAATACACCCTCATTATTGGGCCAGATAGTGGGGCTTTGAGGAGTTAATTCCATTGTTCCTAACTGAGAAAACTAATGTCTAGGTTCGTTGAACTCTGCCATTAGATACATCACTAAGTTACCCAAGAGCTCCTCCTAGAAGGCAAACTTCATCTGATCTTTCCTTACCTGCCACGAGAAATGTATCTAAGTCCACAACTGCTTTGAGTGTTTTCTACATGGTGTTCCTCACCTCCCGGGCTGAGCTCTAGAGGCACAGGTTTCAATGAGAACAGAATGAATTCTTAAGAGGCTCACTCCTAAGTTAGGGAAGAAGAGTAAACAGGTCATTGTAATTTAGTCAGACTGGGACTTTGAGAGAGAAAACCACAGTCCCTGGGTAGGGCATAGAGAGGGGACCTGCATGCTTCTTGCTCTCTCATACAACACAGTGAGACATAAAATGGAGTGAGTAACTCAGATGTTTGATCTCCTTCAAAGGAGGTGATAAAATCTAAGGGAAGGCTGGGCATTTTGAAGGAGTTAATGAATGACAGAGAAGAACATTTACTTTAGATCAAGGATGTCAGACATTTGCTAAATAATCATGGGGTTCAGGAAACATTGGCAAGGTAGGAGGTTACTTTATGGTGATTCCAGAGCACTCTGTCTTCCTCTAGTCATGATCATATATCCTGTATTCTTGATTTTCACACCTGCATTTTGTGTGCTGAGTCTCTGGCCATGGAATCTCCTTCCTTTATTCTTTGACCTTTTTTTTTTTTTTTTTGAAATTTTATTTTTTTATTTTTTTATTTTTTTTATTGCATTTTAGGTTTTGGGGTACATGTGATGAACATGCAAGATTGTTGCATAGGTACACACTTGGCAGTGTGGTTTGCTGCCTTCCGTCCCCTCACCTGTATCTGTCATTTCTCCCCATGCTATCTCTTCCCACCTCCCCACCCCCCCGCCCCTCCCCCATTTCCCCCCAAAGGACCCCAGTGTGTAGTGCTCCCCTCCCTGTGTCCATGTGTTCTCATTGTTCAACACCCACCTATGAGTGAGAATATATGGTGTTTGATTTTCTGCTCTTGTGTCAGTTTGCTGAGAATGATGGTTTCCAGGTTCATCCATGTCCCTACAAAGGACGTGAACTCATCGTTTTTGATGGCTGCGTAATATTCCATGGTGTATATGTACGACATTTTCCCTATCCAGTCTATCATCGTTGGACATTTGCCTTAAACATCAGACCTATTACCATAAAAACCTTAGAAGAAAATCTAGGCAAAACCATTCAGGACATAGGTGTAGGCAAGGACTTCATGACCAAAACGCCAAAAGCAATGGCAACAAAAGCCAAAATAGACAAATGGGACCTAATCAAACTCCACAGCTTCTGCACGGCAAAGGAAACAGTCAGTAGAGTGAATCGGCAACCAACAGAATGGGAAAAAATTTTTGCAGCCTACCCATCTGACAAGGGGCTGATATCCAGAATTTACAAAGAACTAAAGCAGATCTATTCTTTGACCTTTTATGTCTGCTCTATATTTGGCACTGTAGATACCAAGATGACAAGGGCAGAGACCTTCATTCAAGAATTTACTTTTTCTTGTCTTTTTTCAGATGGAATCTTGCTCTGTTGCCCAGGCTAGAGTGCAGTGGCATGATCTCAGCTCACTGCAACCTCTGCCTCCTGGGTTCAAGCAATTTTTCTGTCAAAGCCTCCCAAGTAGCTGGGACTACAGGTGCTCACCCGCCACACCATACCCAGCTAATTTTTGCATTTTTAGTAGAGACAGGGTTTCACCATATTGGCCAGGCTGGTCTCAAATGACCTCAAGTGATCTACCCACCACCTTGGCCTCTTAAAGTACTGGGATTACAGGCGTGAGCCACCATGCCCACCCAAGAATTCACATTTTAGCACAATAGATAAATAAATACAAAATTATGATTCCAGGTGATCCATGCTTTAATGAAAGCATGAGTATAATGTTGAGGAAAACCAGAAAGGGTATGGTTTTATTACTTGAGGGGATTATAAATAGTGTGAAGATGAAATAAAATTGGACCTATGTCCTGAATGTAGCCTAATAAAGGTGTATCTTAGCCAAAATGAACAACAGGATATGAAACTTGAAACTTCATGGGGCGTTCAACATTGATAAAGAGTGTGCATGGCTAGAGCAGAGAATAGATTACGTGAAAAGTGAAAGGAAAGATCATGGAATATCAGGTTTGAAACAGGAAACAGAGATATGCTTGTATTTATATAATGATAGATGGAAACTCAAAGTGGCAAAAGACCTGTTTTAATGTGGAAATAACTAATGAAGTGATTGTTATGAGTATTTGTTAAATATTTGTTGAACTAAAGATGCCTATTGAGATTAGATGTTAGACAGATAGTAAGTGTGTCCATTTTTGTACATTTGTTTGTCCCACCATCCATGATTCCATCCATCATTTCATCCCTCTATTCATCCACGTGTTTGTTCATCTACCATCATTCATCAGTTATTTACTGCATTTTCTGTTTGTGCAAGTCACAACAGTCACAGTTTAATAAAAGGAGTAACTACTTTCTCTCTTTGTTATCTTTAGGGAAACGAATTTGCGCAGGAGAGGGACTCGCCCGTATGGAGATATTTTTATTCCTAACCACAATTTTACAGAACTTTAATCTGAAATATGTTGGTGATATAAAGAACCTCAATACTACTGCAATTAGCAACGGGATGGTTTCTTTGCCACCCCTGTACCAGATCTGCCTCATTCCTGTCTGAAGAATGCTAGGTCATCTGGTTGCAGATCTGCTGTCACCTGTAACTTTTTATCAAGGACATTCCCACTATTATGTCTTCTCTAACCTCTCATCACATCTTCTGATTCCCTCAATATCCCCATGAGCATTCAACCTCCATTAAGGAGAGTTGTTCAGGTCATTGCACAAATATATTTGCAATTATTCATACTCTAACACTTGTATTGACTGCTATATATGCTAATACTTTTCTAGTACTGATGTTTTAATGTTATCACTGTAAAACACAGAAAACTGATTATTGATAATTTAGATATATTTCTTTTGTGAATGTGCTAAATAAAAAGTGTTATTGTTATTAATCAGTTCTCAGACTTTCCTTCCTTTGTGCATAATGTAAGAAATTTAAAAAAAGAAAATTCCAGGGAACCCGGCTTGTCCTCATAATGATAAGCAGAGAATGACAAAGGAGAAGATGGTAAGGAAGGTCTATGGATGTTTGACACCTAGAGTTGAAGGTTTGGCTTTATAAGAGAGAAAATCTCTCCAAGGGAAGAAACAACCTTAAGGGACATATTGAGTTCAGTTGTGTATTTGTGGAGATAATGTGAGGCTAATTACTTCAGGGCCATACAATTAAATTATCATTGCATTTATGTGTAAAACAAGAAATAGAAATTGGAAAAATAATGTAATCTGTTGAGACTTTCCAAGGATTTTGTTCTTGTTTGGAGAGAGAATAAAACTCAGAACATGTGACTAACCATATGAAAGTATATATTCATATTTGATTCTAAGTTAAAACATAAAGTGAAAAAGAATTCAGATTTTTGTTTAGTGTTCGCAACAATACCAAAACAGAGGGATGAATTCAGACATTCAATCTCCATTCCTACTTCACTGATCCACTCATCTTTAACCCCATAGGCCAAAAGAATGGAGTGGGGACATGAGGGCACTCAAGCACAAAGCTTCTATAAACAGTTAAACAAGCACAGGTTCAGTGGTCCTCTTATCAGGATAAAGTTACTGAAGTCAGTCTCTTGTCCAGTGAAAGCTGTAGCCATGTCTTGTGGAACAGTGGGTAAAGGTCAGCATCTGGTAGTAGAGGGGCTGCAAATTGTTTTAGTATTGCTGATCTTGAGACCAGTGCTTGTATAGCTGCTAGAGAAAAAGAAAAACCTTGTGCCAGTTAGAACATAGTTTATTCTTTAAGTGTAGGGGTGCATAAACTAACTCTTGTCTGTCATGCCTGTTTATAAGTTGGTATCTTATGGCCACAAAGAGTTGACCCATCAGTCTTATGATCTCTACAGGTATTGATCAACTTACGACCTATGCAACTTACGACCATTCAACTTTACGACCACAATCGCTAGCCACGACTGCTCCGCGTCTGGCAGTGCAAACGTTGCCCAGCTGGGTGTGCGACAGTGAGGACCAGCTTCTGGCAGCACTACTATCTCTTATGACTTAAAAATTTGTATAACATTTCACAGTACTGTACATATAGCCTACTCAACTTACGACCAAATTGTGTTACGACCGGTCTGTCGGAACCAATCGTGGTCGTAAGTCGAGCACTAGCTGTATTTTATCACTAATGCTGATGAGTTGTTTAGTGCATACCATAAAAGGGAGAGGGTCTAAAGAGGTGTGTCTGATCTCCCATCCACTCATGGCCGGGAACACAGTTTTTAAGGTTTTTCTGTGGTACCCTTGTCCAAGGGAGCTTATAATTTATTTTTAGTCCAAAGTAATTACAGAATTTCAAAAAACCTACCCACAGAATACATCTAAACAGTTGAGAAGAATATAGTTATAATGGAGAAGACAGCCACACACTATCTGAACCTAGTAATCAAATGGCATCATTCTAATGAAACAGATTGAAATTGCCTGTCACCCGAAAATGAGGGGAAAAAAAGCATCATCTGTGATAGTCCTGGAAAAGATGCATCTGCTGAATTTAGTCATTAGAAAACATCTTACTGGCCTAAATTGAGGAATATTTTATAAATGTTCAGTCTGTACTCTCAAAGACTGGCAATGTCTTGGAAGGCAAGTAATGACTAAAGAACTGCTCCACACTGAAGCTGATGGAAGAGACATGACAGCTAGGTGTGGCATGTGGTTCTGGATTCTGAACCGAATTACGAGTGGGGCAAAAAGTATATCTTTGGGACTTTTTGGTAAAACACCAACAGGAACAAGAATTAGAAAGTTCCGATGCATTAACATTAATTTTCTGATCCTGATGGTTTTACTATACTTAGGAGAATCACCTTGTTATTAGTGAATACAGACTAAAATACTTCGGGTTTCTGGTATCAGGTCAGTATTTACTTTTAAAATGTTCCAAGTGAAACAATTACTTGTATGAACAAGCAGTTCTTCTACACACCTGTGATAGAAGTTTAAAAAAAATAAAGCCAACTGTGGGCTTATATATACTTCTTTCACAAATGAAGAATCAAAGTTGAGAGCACAAACTTGAATTGTTCATCATCACTAAGCTTTATGGAAATACAAATTAAAACTTCAATTAGATATTATGTAATTCATCAGAATGGTTCAAATGAAAAAAGGACAGATTACGTTGTCTGCTGACAAGAAAGTGAAGCAATCACAGTCTCATAGAAAAAGCAGTAAATTGGTTCAACCATTTGGATAATCCTTTGGCAGAATTTACTTAAAGTAAATATATGCATATCTAGCAATTCCAGTTGTAGGTATGTACCAAACAGAAATGCAACAATACCTTGGAATAGCAAAAAGACATGTACAGGAATGTACATAATAGCACTATTCAAAATGGCCCCACACTGGAAGCAATGCAAATGTTTGAAGCAATATTATAAAACAATTGTAAAATGCTCATGAAGGGAAACATTAAGAAAAAGATAACAACTACTGTTGTCTGCAACAACTTGATCGAATGTCACAACATATTAAATGAAACTACTTGGCAGTAAATAAATACTATTGGATGATTTCATTGATATAAATTCACAATAAATAAAACTATCTTTTTTTCTTTTTTAAAAAAATGTGTGGTTATTTTCCAGATGGCAGATTAGAGGCTTTAACATGCCTCAGCCACTTGGAAGTAGCAAAATAGCATATAAAGATCAATTCTGTGAGCTTTAATTCAAGAAAAAAATGTGGGAATTCTCTGAAATAGTAAAATGCACTTCAGATCCCAGGCAAAGGAGGTGGGAATGCAGGACCTATGGTGGTGTTCAGCTCATCAAAACAGGTGAAGTCCCCAGTTTGTGAGAGGGGCAGAGAGTCTCTCTCTCTCTCTGACTCTTCTTTCCATTAGAGATCCAGGCAACCTAGTCCAAGGAAGATCACCCTCTTTCTCTCAAACCCTGGAACTAACTTGGAGATAGGCTGGAAGATTATGAAAGGAAAAGACACCAGAATATCTGCAGGTGTTTTCCCAGACCCTGGACTGAGAAGACAATGCCATTTCTAATCTGCACTCATGCAAAGTCAGTCATTGTTTCGTGACCTGACAATGGCAGTCACTACAGGCATTTTAGTCTCAGGCCAGAGATTGAAGCACTTGCTCTGGAGCAAAGAAACGGCTCCCACAGTCAGAATTGAGTAGTGAGTGTAGTGTGCATCCCAGCAGTAAGCACTGGAATTGGGCTGCTTCCCATCACAGGACTAGAGTGGGAGGAGAGTTGCTGAAATTAAGGTTTTTCCTGAGCATCACAACTTGCACTCTGGGATAGCTTCATGCGGTGGAACTGGGGGCTTCTTGTGTCATTGCTGGATGCCCCATCCTGCCCTCTTGTTCAGTCATGAGATAGTGCCCCACCAGTTTTGAGAAACAGAAGAAAGGCAACCCACACTCCTGCTTGTCTGTATTAGGAACATGCGCCAAGCTACCCTTTTCCTACTAAGATCTTGGCATGGTGGTGAGCCTTCTACTCCATTCCTGAGCATATTTCCAGGCATTTGGAGCACCCACTCAGCTAGATTAGCAGCCTGAGATTCCCCTCTTTTCCAATGCAGAGATCTTGGTGCAGAGGCACACTCTCTGCTCCATGCCTACACATATCACCAGCTTTGGGTGTACCTATTCACTGGAATAGGAGCTTGAGCCACCACTGCTTCCCTACTTAGGAAAGCCATTATACAAAGGCTTTTTATAACCAAGGAATTTTTACAAACACTTTGCCATTGAAAGCACCCAGAACCAAAGCCAAAGGACCTTAAACAGAATACATAATACACACCTTCTTAAATCTTTCCCATTAGATTAAAAAAAAAGTGCAGCTCACTGCCAGAATTTATTTAATTTTACATAAACATTCTCTTTGAGGTTGAAGCAAATGTGACTGATTTTGAATGTGAAAATAAAATATAAAAATTTTCCTTGGAGTTGTTTCTAAACAGAACTCTTCTCTAATGTAAAAAGAAATGTATATAATGATCAGTATTTAATAGTTTTTTTGTGTGGTAAATTTCAAAACATGGAACAACACAAAGTGTAACATCACATTCCACACAAAAATATTGCATTTCTTTCTGAATCTCCTTGCCATCCTTGTCATTGTGTGAGCAGCATCTGATGCAGCAACCAGTCAATTCTGTTTCCCTGATGTTGGTGGTGTGTTCCTGGGGAAACGTCATCCAGACAGGCAAAGAGATATGACATCAGAGCATGTGAAGATGTTGCTGTCCTTGCTTGTGATGCTTTCCCAGCATTCTTTCCATCAATGTCAGTCTGAAGTTTAGATGACTAATCATATGCTCAAGATTGTCCTTCTCAAACAGGATATAAGAGTTCAGCACTGTAATGTTTAAAAGATGGCAAAAGAATTTCTTATACCAAACTTTGTGTGTTATCTCAGGGTAAATGTTGCAGCTGCAAGTGCCACCAGAGTATTCTCAGAGGAAATGTAAAATGAATTAAGAGGGGGAATTTTCCATTCACACAGAAGATATTTCAAAAAAATAAGAAGGAGAAATAGCTTATCAAAATGAGAAAGAAACAGAGAAACAATACTAAAAGTATGAAAAGACAGAGTGTTACAACACCTCCAAAAGATCATACTAACAAAAATTAAATCTTTGAATACAAAACAAAAAAGGCAAAGTATTTATTTTAAAAAGCTCAATGAAGTCCAAGAGAAAGTCAAAAGCCAACACAAACAATTCAGAAAAACAATTCAGGATATGAAAAAAGAGATATCATTTTAGAAACCAAACAGAACTTCTGGAAATAATAAAAAATAATCATAGAAGGATTCACAAAATACAGATAAAACTTTAGCAAAAAGCTAGACCAAGTGGAAGAATTTCAGGCTTGGAAGACAAGTCTTCTGAATGAATCCAGT